AGGGGAACAGACAAGTTGCTGTCCTTTTGTTCTTCAGTCTAGTTGTGGAGGACGTCGCTTCACTGGCCCATGTTGCTATTATCATTGTGCTCTTCCCGGGTGAGGCAGATCAGTTGCCGGCCACTGGACAGCCGCTCACAGCAGCTCTTGCTTGGCAGCTCACGCTGGCTGCTGGCCACACACGGTACCTATGGCAGCCCACTGCAGCCTACGCCATCACCGGTAACTTATGGCAGCCCAGCTCCAGGTCGAGCTGTTGTTCACCATCTTAGCTGTAGAGGCACAGCATCACTGGTCCTAATGTGGGATCCGAACCAGGGCCCTGCTGCTCAGAGCTGGTGTCCCAAGCCAACTCTTAACCAATGTGCCACTCGGCCGGCCCAGAGCTTACTTTTAAATGTGCTTTTTAACTGTACAAAGGAAGAAATTTGTGACAAAGGAAATTCAGCCAAGAGGACAAACAATACCTTGTGTTTCATTGTTTTTTAAAAATCTGCTAGAAATTTTATAGTTGGCTTACAGAACTGAGGAAATACAATAGAGCGTGATTTTTGGACTTGGTGGCAAAGGCAGGGAGTCAGGAAACCCTGGAGTTAGCTAGACTCTTAGAGGAGTTTCATTTGTGTGGAGCACTGAACTCTTAGGCTCCATGTAGCAAAGTTTTGGTTTTCTTTCCTGAAGTTGAGATAAACTCAGTTGTCTTAGTTGATCCTATTTAAATAATTTGTTAGTGCTCTTTCAGAAATAAATGCAAATGATTTTATCTCTAAGCACATTATGGTTTACCCAGGCATATAACTATTCTACCATGGTATAACAAAGTAGCCCAAAACTTAGCTGCTTGAGACAACAACACACATTTATCATCTCACACTTTCTGTGGGTCAGGAATCCGGGCGTGGCTGAGCGGGGTCACCAGCTCAGGGTCCGTCAAGCCTGTGGTCAAGGTGTCAGCTGGACTTCACGTGGGGTGGATCCACTTCTTAGCTGGCTCATGCGGTTGTTGGCAGGAGTCGGTTCCTCGCAGGCTGTTGGATTAAGAGTCTTAGTTGCTCATAGCTGTCAGCTGAACGCCACCCTCTGTTCCTTGTTCTATGGAGCTGTCCTCAGGACAGCTCACAACATGGCAACTATCTTCATGATAGAAAGCAAGAAAAGCCAAAGAGAGAGCTAGCAAGACAGAAGTCATGGTCTTATAACGTAGTCTCGGAAGTGATATGCCATCACTTTTGCTGTATTCTCTGCGCTGGATGCGAGTCTCTAGTTCTGGCCCACACTCAAGGGAGGAGATCACACAGGAGAGAACCAGGAGACGGATTCTTGGGACCGTCTTACAAGGCTGCTTAACACAGCAGGCTTACACTGCTTCACATTTAAGTTCTTCACATTCAAGAACTGGGTCCTCCACTCCCACATCCCTCATCATCCCAGGCTCTTGCTCCGTTTGCTAATATGGATCTGCAAAGCTAGGCTGGCAGAAACAGGTGAACAGCTTGTTAATGACACTGAGTACTTCAGTCCAAGGAAAGCATCGCCTCTTAGCACCACTTGTAGGATTCCTGGTAACTCCTGGTTGTCAAAAGGGAAATGAAATGGAGGGAGGTGACTTCCGGGCTGCCTCCCACTGCAGTGTGCAATGTTATTCTCTCAAGTTCTGGACTCACATTTTTTTTGTTTTTTGGGATTTTGTTTTTACTCATTTTATGTCTATAAATTGTGTTGATCTTGGTATATCCTTTAGATGACTGGTAACATTAAGTTCATCTTTAACATTTTTATTATTTGAGTTAAGTGAAATGTGACAATGAAATAAAGAGTTTAATTTTTATGCTTGTCTTACACACTCAAATAATTTTACCTTCATATTTCTAGTTAAGTAAAAGTCTTAGCTTGGTTGCGTGTGTGTGTGTGTGTGTGTGTGTGTGTGTGTGTGTGTGTGTGTGTGTAAATACAGTATGCTGCTCTTTTTTCTGAAAATTTCATATGGTATATATTGAGATTTGGCTTAGACCTTGAGCAATCTTTATTGAATCACAGATGTTTTCTCTGTGAGTGTGAAGAGCCCCCTAACTGTTCTAGAAAGGATCTACCAGGAGGCTTTCTCCTGTTTAGGGCTCGCTGACTTTGGCAGGGCCTACTTGCCTGGTTAGGAATAACTTTGAATGGGAATAACCTTCCCTTAACTCTTGGAGATGTTGAACAACCCTTCATTATCTTACAGCTGAGCAAGGAGGTGTCTGCTATGGCTAACACTATCTGCTGTGCCTGGATTAACGCTTCCGGGGAAGTCGAAACTCAGTTTGGTGAAAGATTGCTGAGGAATCCATTTGGTTTAAAGGATGACTGTCTCAACAGGGTCATTCTTTGATGGGTTTGAGTCTTGAGGATTGTGGCTCCAAAGTGCACCCTAAACACTGGGAATTATCCTGCTTATATTTATTATCTCCCTGGTGTTGAATTCCCTCAAAAGCTTTACATTTATGTTTTCAGCCACTAACTGCCAGGCAAATTATCTTCCTAAGACTGGGAAGTCAAAAAAGGAATGAGGAAAGTGACTGACATAAGGATTATGAACCTGGAACTGTGACCTGTGTAGGTCACAGAGATTAGGCAAAACCAAGGATCAGCAGAGCTGCAGAGGGTTAGCTGAGCGTGATGCTAATGCCTTCACTTCACATGCCTCAGTTAAGCTGAGAATATGAACAAAAGAGGGGAGTTGTTGAAGAGAAAATCACAGGCCCAAAATGGCGTCACTTGTGCTAAAAGCCCATGATCCCAAACCTAGATTTCATACTTGATCTAACTGCATGTAAGGTTGTTTCAACCTTTCCCAGAAACATAATCTTAATCAACCAGTCAGGAATTTTCAGGTCAGCACCGGTGAGATAATCTGTCGTGAGCCCTCTCCATCACCATCCCCATCTGCAAGAGGTGATCTGCATGTAAAAACCCTTGCCTTCCCTTCCTCCCCCACCAAAAAACAAACAAACAAAAAAACCCATATCCTGGTCTAAAAATTATCCTGCCTTTTGTCAATAGCTCCCTTGACCTGCCCTTCTTTCTAAAAAAACTTCTGTTTTTTACAACCCCCAGAGCTCCCTTCCAGTTGCTAGACTGGATGCTGCCCCATTCATGAATTGCTTAATAAAGCCAATTAAATCTCCAAATTTACTCCGCCAAATTTTGGGGGGTTTTTTTAACAGCCCCAATTCTGTGAACAGAGAAAGATAATTTAAAGAAAAAGCTGAGTGCAGTCTTAGAGACATCAAATCCAAAATAGGCTCATTTGAGTGTTTCTTTTTTGCTTCATTTCCATTCATAGGTCCTCTTTTTTTTCCCCCCCTTTTCTTCTTTAAAATGTTGTCAGATATTCCCGATTCTTCAATCTTCTTTGTTTATATTCTAAGCCGGTTTGACTTTTTTTTTTTAATTGGTTTAGTTCTCTCCATTTTATATTTTTAAAGGGCTCTTTTGGGATAATTGTCACATGAACTGAAAGCAGTCTTGCTGACTCATCTTGTAGACACTGTGAGGGAGCACATGGAGGAAAAAGCAGATGTCCTTTTCTCCACTTCTTTTTTGTGGTTCTAACCGCTGAAACAAATGAGGAGCAACTGTTTTTAGTTGTCATGTTGGCTAAGTCAGCTATCGAATCGATGCTGCCGTCAGAGGGAGCCAGGCAGGACGGTAGGTCCGGCTCTCCTCCTGCAGGTGGCTGGACCCATAGCAAACCAAATGATTGGTTTGCGTCCAGCCCTTGCTTGAGACTGAAGGTCATCGAGTTGGCAGCAGCAGCCCCTTTGACTGAGGAACCTTTTTGGCCTGCCCCATTATTTTGCAGAATAAAGTACGTTGTGTTAGGTATAGTCTATTTTCTCCCCTGAGAGATCAGAGCTATCATTTTATTCCTTTCTGGATCTGTGTAGTCACTGAAACTAGTGTGGATGAAAAAGGGGCTCTATAGTAAATCTGCAAAGTCCAGTGACCGAAAATAACCTTTAGGATCACCACAGGGTGATCCCACGTAAATTCCTAATGGGGCAGGTCATGGTCGGGAGTCATACCCCAGGCATATAACTTTAGTAAAAGGCTTATCTTTGCCTTAAGCAACCCTGTTCACTGTTTCTGGTTAACACACCTTTGAAACCTCTTTTTCAGACCCCTTGGAAGCTTAACCACCCTCAAGGGAGCACATGATCTTGTGAACTACCCTGTAATCTGATCCCCGCCTTGCTTTCTCCCACCTTCCTTATATTTCCTTCTTAAATCCAAATGTATAAAAGAAACTGCAAAACTCTCATTTTCGGAAGCATTTTTCTCAGTGTGTTGAGTTTTTCAAGACGTGTCCTTCTCTTTGGCTCTAATAAACTCTGATGAAAGTTTTCTAGAGGCTTGGACGTTCTTACGTGAACACAAATGGAAGGTGACTAGCCCAACGCAGGCATGGCTGTGTGTGTCTGTTCATGTCAAATACTTAATACGATCGATGAGCCCCAGCACATTCACACAGTGCCATGCCCTCCAAGGCCCAACTTTCCAAAGCGAAGCTGCTGTGTTTACAGAGTTCACTAATATATACTGAGTGCTTAACTACACCTAACACTGTTCTAAGCACTTTACAAGTATTATAATCCAGGTACCCTTATTGTACC